TGAAATATTAGCACCCAAGTGTGCAGAGAGGGCAAGAAGTTCGTAAAGTTTGCTCTGAAATCTATTTATAGAATACATCTTAAATCCAAACCAATTGTCTTAGTGAGACTCTGTGACTAGAGAATGTATTATTATTATGAGCGACTCTTATTTTGGCAGAAGACTGTCAACAAATGCGTTACCTTTTGTAAAAGCTTGTACATTATCTGGCTATGCTTGAATAGCACAATTTAAACCAGAATATTTATTTTTTTGTTTTTGTGCGTAATGTTTCTTATATGTTAGCTCATTGCTTTATGATTTCAGTGTATATTGCTCATTGCTTTATGAAACTCAGTGTATATTGTGTGGCGTTAGAATTTATACAAGACTGTCAAGTCAAGGCAATGCAAATACAATTTAAATGATTAAAAATTATTAAAATAGATAAAAACAGATTGAAATGTGTTAATACAGGTGAAAAAAAGAATTAAAGAAAAGAAAGACAAGATAATATAATGCGATTTGTTAAATGTAGCACAGTGCTCATTTGGTAAAGGTACAGCTAAACAGATGTGTTTTAAGTCTTGATTTTAAATGTATCTAATGTTGGAGGACATTTGATCATTTCTGGTAGCTGGTTCCAGCAGCGGGGGGTGCAGTAGCTAAAGGCAAATTCACCCTGCTTTGACTGAACCCCTGGAATGTCTAATTTACTTGATTCTAATGATTTGAGTGACCTGTTAGGTTTGTATTCAGTGAGCATATCTGCAAGTCATGTTTAATTTTTTGCTTTAAATCATTTTCATATTAAGAAAGCCATACTTATGTACCCATAGTGATAGCTGCTTTGAAAACACTTAAATAAACAAAACACTTAATAAAGCCTTTTTTAATATTCTTTTTTAAATCAGTGGTTCAGAGAATATATATTCTCTGAAATATATATATTTCTCTTATATATATATAACTGTCAAGGACACATGATTTCATTAAACAATGCTTTATTTTGTCATATCTGTTTTGAAATGTTTCACAATTTCAAATGTTCTTCCTGGGTTGAGATCTTATAAATCCATAAATCAAGTAATAAATCACTGAACAAACATTCATAGTTTTTACATAATTTCAGACCAGTAGGCATTTTAATTAGACTTTTTTATTATTTAAAATAATACTAGTAGGTAAAAGTCTTGTACTGTCATATTTTAGCCTGGTTCTGTACCTGGGCTGCGTTCGAAACCGCCTATTCAGTACTCTGATAGAAAACTATGTTCTATAAAGTATGAATGTGAGCAGTATGAAAAGAACTCGGACATACTACAACCACCATTTTGTCATGATCACGTAAACTACCCGCATGATTTTCATCTCTTCTCTCTCAAGGCATTATGCACACTTCTTAATCTCAACTGAAGTAGTTGGTCATCCGAGTACATCTCGCATAATGTTTTTCGAATTGTATGAATTCGGACATACTGTTTGGCTCGCATACTGTTTCTAGCATACTATATAATATTGAAGTATGCAATTTCGGACATAGCTCTGGGGCCTCATGTACGAAGACTTGTGTTGAATTCATACTAAAACATTGCGTACAGACAAAACTGTAAATGTGTGTACGCAGAAAAAAATTCAGATGTATGAAACTGCATACGCCGAATCCCACACATATTCTCTTTCTACATCCGAGTTAACGTGAAACTGAGCGCACGTGCACGAGCGCAAAACCCTTCCCTGCCTCCTACCCCTAAATAATATGGGAATGACTCCACTTTGGCAAAACCAAACAAAAAAGCAATGTCAAAAGCAAGCAAAAAGAGAAACTTCACAGAATGTGAAAACTGTTATTGGCAAGTTTGTCCTCCAGAATTAATAACAAAAGAAAAAAAAATAGAGTGGGAGAGTTTAGCTGACGCGGTTAAAGCAGTTGGGTCTGAACATCGCACTGTGAGTGAATTTTTAAAAAAAAAAATGGTTGATGGTAAAAGTGTACATTTTGAAATGTCTATTTGGGCTAAGTGCAATACCACACCTTGTTGGAATGAGCTAGTTGAGTGATTCCCGTCCATCACCGTTTAATTGACAGAGACAACATAACTAAAGAGAGCAGCAAACATCAGTGTGAGTGGCGTAGCTCGTGAAGTGCATAGCAACATGTTTTGACATGAGCTATCATGAGTTCGGTTCGAACCTAGTGTCTGATGAACTCTTTTTTTATCAGTTCTATATATATTAGATTTTGCCTACTTGTCATCGCGAGGTAGACAAGTAGGAAACATTAATAGTTCTATGTATTATGGAAGACTCAGATTCATAGAACTGAACTGGATTGGTGAAATGTTATATCCAAATCATATGCAATTTAAGTATGTAGAAGTTATACATTAAAAATACCCTTAAATATAAATTTTAGTACTGCTTCAGTGAACCTGAACAAGCTGCCTTAGTAGCACTGTGAGTACAGTTGATCGCTCCGATTACATTGGGAAAACCGTCGATCACTGCAAATTGAGCTTTAATGTTTGGCTGGTCAACTGCATGGTATGGAAACCTTATATACCTGCTAGACATGCGGATGATCCCAACCCATACAGCTGCCATTGCACAGCTCAAAGATACTTTGTAGTGTGCAATTTAACACAATTAACTATAGGAGTCGCCAATGGAAGTAAAACAAACACAAACAAGACAAACAATGCACGTACGCCTGACATGAAGTTGGCGTGGACCAACGCACATTCTCACGTTAATTTCATTGTTAGTAAATCCAAACGTGAGCGTGAAATCTGACGTATGCAAAGTTTTTGTGCGTACGCAGCGTTGATACATGAGGTCCTTAGTGTTTTGAATGCTATGAAACAGTGAATCAATTTACAAAGTAATACTATACTGTACTGGTACATCTTTCTCATCCCAGACTGTCAGAAATTATCACCTATACACTCATCATTTTCTATATTAGTCAACTAATGTAGTACACTTAAAAAAAGTGAATGAAAACTAGTGAGTGAATTCGAGCACTGATGGCACTGGAAGCGATGGCGTTTTGTTTATTCATTCATTCCTTTACTTTTTGGCTTAGTCTCTTTATTAATCTGGGGACCTTCTTGCTGTGAGGCGACAGCACTACCACTGCTCCACCGCGTCGCTGGTGTTTTGTTTACTGGTTGATAAAAATAAATGATGTTGACATTGTTTGTGATTACATTTATGTGATTACAAGTGTGTGTCATTTGTATTTTGGCTTCTGTCAAGTATTCAAAAGTTAGTTTAACTAATAAATAATATATTATGCAGAAACGTACATCAATATGATGGCATTGTGCCATATTGTTGCTATCTTGAATACCAACCATGTTCTCCAGACATCGAAGGTCCATCAGTTATACACTCATTATTGCAGAGTATTGTGGGATTTATTGAGTGCAAATCAGTACACCCTCTGTGGATTAGGACATCACTTCAAATGGCTGCCGCCTCAAATGCTGTAGTGCAGTATTGAAGGGTATGATATGCGATTTTTGGATACAGCCAGCAGAAATTTGTGTTTAGTTTTTTCTCAACTTAGAGAATTGTTAGTACACTAATGGTATTCTGTTTGAAATAGTCATGTATTTCTGTGTTATTACTACATTTGAACATCTGTCATCAGTATTTGTTTATCTTTATTATCATTTTGTATAAGCTTTACAGTTTAAATGGTTTAGTCCATGTAGGAGGGGCTTGAGTTTGGAATAGTTGCTCAGAGCAGTATGTTCTCTGGTAGTGTTAGTTACTTGTAGCTTGGAGACCAGGGATGTCAAAAGTACTGACTTCAGTACCATTTGATAACTGAAATAAAAATAACAATAAAAAATTATGAGCATTGGGCTCATGTGCTGATGTAATATGCGATTGGCTCCAATGATCTCTGCTTCAAAACACTGCTTCACTGAGTCAATCAACTGAGATCTTACACATAAACTGGTCCCCATGTAGACGTAGCCTTCAAAGTGTCCATCTGTTTGTGTAAGCATTTGTTGAAGAAAGTCAACCAATGATCATTGGTGCCAATCAAAGGATCTGATGAGGATGTGAACAAAAAACCAATTAGGGGTGTTTAATAACCTGCTCAACAGCACTCAAATGTTAGCAAGAAATGGATGTTTTCTGTTCTTGATATTGTCATTTCATTGCTGATTAATAGGGGGGCTTTTAGCAATTCTGGGCCATATGAAAGTATATTTAAGGTTGGACTCCCTGCTGTTACTGTTAAGACTAATAAATCTAATACTAATAATTATAAATAATACTAATAGATCTCTGGGGACCCCCAAAGTGGATGAGCCCTTAGAATCACCCTCTTACCTATGCTTAGCATTGGTTGTTTATTATCATGCAGATAATGTACTTTTTAAGTAATAATTATTACTTAAAAAGTACATTATCTGCATGATCTTATTCCACATCACTAATCTACCCAACAACTAAACCCAACTACTACCTTAATAACTATTAATAAGCAGCAAATTAGGAGTTCATTAAGCTAAAAGTCTTAGTTAATGTTTTAATAGCGAGAATCGTACCTTAAAATAAATTGTATCCAATTTATCTTCTTCTTCTCAGACTTTCACTGTTAATATCTATTTCACACCTAGGCTTTAGCACTCGCATCATTTTTTTACACCTCCGTCTATTGCTTCATCCTTTACATCAGCGTAAGAGGTTTGAATGCGAAATGGCAGTCCTGAATATGACGTTTGTCACTGAGGAAGCACATTGCAAATGAGCATTCAAAGCACATCAGAACAGATGGCAACTTATTAAAGACCGGGAGACTTTAATCTCATATGAGGCAGCGCGCAGGGCAAATATGAAATGTGAGAGGCTTCTTTAGCATCCATTTTGCCTCGCACATTCAGAGCGGTGTGCCCTCCTGCTGCGTCGCGCAACATTTCACTCACTTTCATTCTTATTTTTCTCATGTAACATCTCTGAATCTTCAGCTCATGGTTTGTGTGTTTCTCTTCATTTGGCAGCTGGGACCACGTATATTTTTGGGAGAGGAGGAGCGCTCATTACATACACCTGGGCCCCCAACGATCGGCCGAGCACCCGGGCGGACCGTTTGGCCGTGGGCTTCAGTACCCAGCAGAGCGATGCCATTCTGGTGCAGGTGGAGAGCAGCCAGGGCCTGGGAGATTACCTTCAGTTGCACATTGTGAGTATTAAAGTTCACTGTAAAGCTCTAATGGGATTCTTAATGTGGTTATTTACTGTCCTGCAGTCTTCTACAGTCATTATTTTAATGCACAGACTACACTTTTGTCTTTTTGGCCCAGTGTTCATCAGTTTACAACAGTTTAGTTGTAATCAGCCATCTTTCAGAATTTAAAGGGCCACGAAACCCCCCTGTTTCAGCAGGTTGTTTTCACACCTCAGAGTGTCAGAGGAGGTGTCGTAAATTTTGACGTCTCATCAATTACATATTATCAGACCGGAGGTTTTGAATATCAGAAAATAGACTTTATTCTCCATAATAAAGCCGAGAAAGAGCAGAGCAGACCCCAGAGCTTTCTGAAGTCTCTCCTGGACACCTTCTAAAGTCTCTCCTGCTCCTTCTCCTTTATTTATGTTTTTGACACACCCCTATGTGTCTCTTTTTAACTTTTGACCATTTTTGAATAAGTTTTCTAGTCTAAGGGGTCCTGCTATTCTTGGCTCTCAGCCCACTAGCTCATGTCAACAGAGATGTTACAGGTCTATGTCAGCAAAGTATAGATGCAACTTATGCAAAGGAACTAAGTGTTTACATACATTGTTATGATAGGATAATAACTTGATAATATGTTACTCATTCTAACTTCTGACACATATAGCTTCATAGAAGTATTTAACATATATGATCAGTGCTTTACATATTCAGTTATTCTACACAATCAGTCACTCAGCCTTCTCCTAGTGTTGCTCCTGTGCAGGCATACTCATCTTACACAGACATATCACTGTATTTTTAACACAGGCTGGCATGTTTGCTGCTAACACTACATACATTTTGTGAAGAGAAAATTAGCTTTACACTTAGAAAATACTTCATACAGAGAGAATAAAATCTTCTTCAGAGGGAAAGAGGGAAGGTGCATAAAAATTTGCATAAAAATGGGAGTTTCGAGTTTGGGCATACGCTGATTTTTACAGAGGCAAAACAAACACACAGACGCAGGGAAGAAAGACAGTGACTATGTTTATATGGACATCAGTAATCAAATTATTTGCCAATTTTTCCAAGTCTTTCCCATTAATTAATGCTGCAGACTCAGGGACGTCACAAAGTACTCCCAGGTACAGACACCCAGTCTACATGCTGGAATACATGCAAGGATCTAATCGATGCAGCTTAAAAAAAAACGGGAAGAACGAATTTGCTCAAAATAATGCAAAAACAACAAGTTTTCACTTTTTAGTGAAATATATGTGTCCTAATAGTGTTTTTAGCAGCGTGGAACACATATATGACTGTCAATAGCTCAAAAAATGTGTTTTGGGGGGCGTTAGAACTGGTGACTGATTTTAGTCCCTATTGTTCCTTTCATTAAGACTATTTATTCACTTATTATTACTTTGCATTACAGCCTAAGTTGCAGACTTAAGGCAGTAATATACTTTTTATAGTAAAAATAATGCCGTTTTGCTATTTTTAAAAATATTTTTAAATACAGTAGCTAAATGTGTCACTTACATTTTAAGGCATATGTAAAAAAGGAGAGTATATCTACCTACCTCAAAAAGAAAAAAGGGATTTACAGTTATTGCAGTGAAAATTGGTTTCATTTTGGCATGTATAACACGCAACTCAACAGGTTATATAACGTTTATTATTATTTTAAAGGTAAAAATAAAGATTTAAGTTAGGCATTCATAAGTTTCTTTAGTGAAATTGTCTGGTGAAAACGTTACGATAAACCATTAGGCTATTTACCTGTCCTTTTATTTAATAATTTAGCATATTTTAATAACATGTTGCAATTTTATTTTCCGGGCCATACACTTACAAGTTAAAATAAAATCAATATGCTATCTGTATTTTAGACATTAAAATAGGCCTACAATATATTTTCTGGTGTTAAATTTTGCATGAGCAAATAGCCTAAATTACATATTTTTTAAAGATTATCATTCAGCCTACCTGTAGTTCAGTGGTTGATCCGCGACAAATCCACTTACACACTATAATAAACCATAATAAACTTTAATTTATAACACTGTAAACTTGACTTTGCAGGCCAATCATCTTTAAACTCAAAAGGCAATTTTTTTCTAATCTAGTCTAATAGATTAGAAAGAACTTCTAATAGATTTTTTTAATTTCTAATAAATCTAGTTAAGCGCAGTTGCGTCTTTGCCATAAATTAATTTAATGGTAAATTTCTTTTGCGTTTTCTCCCTTTAATGCTCAAAAGAGAGTTGTATTTAAAGAATTAGTTAACCAAAACATTAAATGAATTAGGCTGTTCACCTTCATGTCACCCACTAGTCTTGTTTCCTCCTGTGTGAGTTTAGAGTGCGCCTTCACCCTGCCTGCACACTCTGACTTGATGCAGGGACCAGATCTTAATTATAAAATATCACCATTTGTGTTCTGAAGGTTGGAATGACGAAGTGTTAGTAATTAATGACAAAAAAATGTTTCAGTTTTGGGTGAAGTAATCCTTTATGAAAATGTAGTTGGGGGGGTTATCGCAGCTTCTTTCTTATGCCCCCTGTAGCACCGGGCCTGCTACTAAGAAATCTTTAAGCAAACCATGTAGTGTTATGAGTAGTACAAATATAATAAATAATTAAGACATCAAATTTAATACAGATAAATTTATTTTTATTGTTTATTTACATAAAATAATAACATCATTAATAATAGTTTAATAATTAAGCAAAATAGGAGGATAATAGTAGTAGTAGTAGTAGTAGTAGTAGTAGTAGTAGTAAAAACTGCTAGGAAGATCTTAAGCATTGAATAGTGCAGTGGTTCTCAAACTGTGATACGTGTACCACGAGTGGTACGCAGGCTTCCTTGTAGTGGTACGCGGAGGAATGAAATATGTCATGTACATGCTACACACATTTCAAAATTTATCAAAAATGATGTATATAATATGTCATATATGACATGTAGCCTATATTTCTGATGTGATCTGCGACATTTTTTAACTCTGCAGAGTTGTAGCTGCTTTACTGGGCCTAATGCGCTACTTTATTTCAATACTCCTCATTTTGGTGGTACTTGGAGAGACAATTTCTTTTCTGAGGTGGTACTTGATGAAAACTTGTTTGAGAACCACTGGAATAGTGTTATAAATAGTAAAAATGGGATTAAAATAAAGTCATTTTATTGGTTTCATTAAAGCAACAATGATAAAAAAATAATATCAAATAATAATAATAATAATAATAATAATAATAATAAAAAGAGTAATAAATCATAGAGATCAATTGAATATTTTGACATCCTAAATGTTGAAATGTGTTTCTGGCATGTCATATTAACCATGATTTTTAATGGGCTTTCAGGGTCTCAGCTGTTTGCATCGTCTGACTTGATATGATCTATTTTTAAAGCCCCACTATGAGCAGCAAAATTAAACTGTGTAATCAGAGTAATCAACAGCCAAAACCACAATACAACAAGCTTATGCAAATACCTTATTAATGAAATTATCGCTTATTTAGCGAGGCATTATTTATAGCTGCATTAATTTTACTGTATTTGTTTAGCCTCAGAGTAATAGAAATCAGAGCTCTACAAAACATCCTGTATTTTAATTACTGTAATTGTACTGTTAGTTGTACCAGGATGTGAATGCTTTTTACAAGCCAGAATTTCATAATTGCAGTTATTCTGACATGCCGTGAAAGAATCAACGGGCTACTGTGATAAAACTGTAGTATATATTTTGTCTCTAGGCTTTTTATGTCTGTGTGTGTGAGCAATGCTACTGACGTAGGCTGTGCCATTTCCATTGGCTCCGTTTGGAAGTGCTGACAGGGAAACTGATGCAAATTGACTTGGATAAAAATCTTAAGTTGAATCATTTCAGCGAATGCTTCAGGGGCTCCAGGCACATGAAGCTGTATTCATGGATCAAATGATGAATAGAAGCTACATCCTCGCATTCAATTCTTTTTGATAAGATTCAGACACATCCTCTTCCCCCACTCGTGCAGACTGGGAGAAAAATACCCCCCGAAAAAAGGTTGGAATCATTAATTGCTGAACAGTTTAGGAAAGCAAAAACACCAAGCTCTTTCATATTAATTTATCCTATTAAAACAACATAGGGCTGAGATAGTATGACGGTAGATCAAGCTTGTAAATGCCTCGTTGACCCCTTGGCTTATTACTGCAATTATATTTCAGCGAGTTTTTTTTTTTTTTTTAAGATGCATTTTAATAAGGTTCCTCCGAATGAATAATTAATTCAGCGTGAACTGTCGACTTTCGCACTGTGAGCCTCCATGGCAGCGCAGCCATAAACAGGCTGAGAGCAGCTGCTCTGCCAGACACAGACTGGGGCTTGTTTTCAGAAACTTCCTCCTCTTGTCACAGACACAAAGCACAAGAGCCTCCCATTCTGTGGGCTGAAGGATAGATCTGTGGAGATTTTTTTACATCCTTTCTGATGGCATTTTCTGTGTGTTGGTATCTGTCTGAATGGTGATTCCCAACATGGAGGACACGTGTAACCCTCTGAGAACTGACTGTGCTGCACCTGTGTATCTAAATGCAGGGCATATGGCCCTGTTTGCACTTGGCATTAAAGATGCTTTGCTGTCAATCCAATCGCAAGTGGATGACTTGATTAAAGTATTAGTTCACCCAAAAAAGAAAATTAGCCCACAATTTACTCACCCTCTCTTAGTGTATATGACTTTTTTCTGTCAGAAAAACACAGTCTTAGTAGTTTGAAATGTTATCCATGCTATAAAATAATGTTGAATAGATAGCACAACTTCTATCTGTGGTACAACTGTGGTATCTGTGGTAAAACCCATATGCTGGCAGGGGGTTAACTCCTGATCAGTGTGTTTTTGTAACACATTTATGGCCCATTTCCATTGAGTGGTACAGTATGGTACAGGTTGGTACAGGTCACCTTTATCAGGCTTGTATTTCCACTGCTAAAAGGATACCAATGGTACTCTTTTGGTGGGCATGGTGTACGACAG